AACCTTGTGCTGAAAAATGCACCTTTCATGTTCTTTCCTTCCTTCTCCTTTCAGCTCCAGAAGAAGTCCATGCAACAGTTCGGTGCCAAATGACATGAAGAGGCCAGCAGACCTGATCGGTCAGGAAGTGATTTTGGTTTCCTTCCTTCTGCTCCTCCTGGTCTGGTTTCTGAATCGAGAGTTTGAGGTCAGTTACCGCCTCCACTACCATGGAGATGTGGAGGCTGATCTTCATCGCACTAAAATTCAGAGCATGAGGGATCAAGCTGACTGGTTGCTGAGGAATATTATTCCGTACCACGTGGCCGAGCAGTTGAAGGTTTCCCAGAGCTATTCCAAAAACCACGACAGTGGTGGAGTAATCTTTGCAAGTATTGTGAACTTCAGTGAGTTCTATGAAGAGAACTATGAAGGAGGCAAAGAGTGCTACCGAGTCCTGAACGAATTGATTGGGGATTTTGATGAGCTGCTGAGCAAACCACATTACAGCAGCATTGAGAAAATTAAAACAATTGGGGCAACGTACATGGCTGCTTCGGGACTGAACACCTCGCAGTGTCAGGACAGCAACCATCCCCATGGACATTTGCAGACCCTTTTTGAATTTGCCAAAGAAATGATGCGAGTGGTGGATGACTTCAACAACAACATGCTGTGGTTTAATTTTAAACTGCGGATTGGCTTTAACCACGGCCCCCTCACTGCTGGGGTCATTGGCACCACCAAGTTGTTGTATGACATTTGGGGTGACACTGTGAACATCGCTAGCAGAATGGACACCACTGGCGTCGAGTGTCGTATACAGGTGAGTGAGGAGAGCTACCGCATCCTAAACAAGATGGGGTATGACTTTGACTATAGGGGAACGGTCAATGTGAAGGGGAAAGGTCAGATGAAGACCTACCTTTACCCAAAATGCATGGACAACGGGATCGTGCCGCATCACCAGTTGTCTATATCTCCAGACATTCGGGTTCAAGTGGATGGCAGCATTGGGCGATCTCCGACGGATGAGATTGCCAACCTGGTGCCTTCTGTACAGAATTCTGATAAGATAGCCCATGGCACAGATAGCTCAGAAACCAAGGACATCCTTCCTTCCGCCAAGAAGCTCCAGAAAGATGCGACGAGAGCAGAGGAGAGGTGCAAGTTTGGCAAAGCAGCCGAGAAGACTGACTGTGAGGAAGCGGGAACTGAGGAGGTCAATGAACTGACAAAGCTAAATATCTCTAAGAGTGTATGATGCACTGTCAGAGTTGCATGAAGTGCTCTGTCCATAGAAACACAAAGACACTTGCAATTGGCAGTTTTCTTTTTCAAGAGAGACCTTCTCAACACCTGGGTTGTACATTTGTTTTCATTTCAGCACCTGACGCTGTGTGGATCACAGCTCTTCAGGGCTTCTTTTCATCCATCTCTCTCCTCCATGCCCCCAGTCACATCCCAAGCTCCCCAGCTCCCTGTGCAACCATCTTACAGCTGAGTAGAGGATATTAAGTGCCTTCAGATATACTCCATTGGACTCCCTGTCAAGGTACAGAGGCCCCAGGTGAAATCATAGCTTTGGGTATTTATCTAATTTTAAAGAAAAGAAAAGCTGTGGTTATATCATTTTTATTGTTGTTTCTCACAAAACACTTTTTTTGGCTAATGCAACTCCTTGGGTTTTTTATATCTCTCTGAACTATGTTTTACTGTTATCAGACCTTTTGTATGTAAACACACAGACAAATGTGCATGTATCTACCATATGAGACTGACATAAAGTGCCAGTAACGTACCACAAAAGAATGTCTCGGCGAGGGGTGACACAGTTTGACTTTGTGTCACGCTGGAGGAGGAGTTCTGCAGTGGCTCAACCTTTAGTTAGAGTAGGCTGAACAACTGCTGTCGTTTTATTCTCCTTTACCAATGCTTTCTTCAACCTTAACGTGCCATCGTGTGCTTTGGATACACTTCTTTTCCATATAGCCAATGAGTTACTGATCTGTGGGAATGGAATAAGGGCTTGGACTTCACCAACTGTCAGGACAGGTTTCCAGAAGCAGATGAGTGACCACGAGAGTGTTACAATTCAGGTCTTACAAGCCTAAAGCAGTTTCATGTTACTCCGTGCCCTAGCTGAATTGGCAAAGGTAGGTGAAGTCGGTGTCTCTAAGCTGGTCTGATTTGAGAGAGAAAAGCGAAATAAATGTTTTGGGAATGCCTTTATTTATTTATTTATTTAAGTCCTGTTTTTATTTTGTTTGGGGGATTTTTGTGTGTGTAAGGGATCAGGAGAGATGAATTGGTTTAATAAGAGTAACAAGATGGTGTTTCAGCCTCTTTGAACTACTGACCACTGTGAGGATGTTACCAAGGCAATATTTGTTTCAAAGCTGGTGAAACGTCCAAAGCCACCAACTGCGATTGGGTACCCCAGCTTCCCTCTGTACTGAATCAATGGTGCTGCACAAGATTTTTCAGGATTTTTCCCCCTACACTGTGCTTTTGCAGCAGGGAATAGAACAGCATGCTCCCTGCGTGCCACCGAGAGCAGGAATAGGGAAAAATGTCCTTTCTAGAGAGCTGAAAAGCACAATAAATTCCCAGTCCTGCAGATGACTCTGTGCGGGTCCCTGGGACCTGCAGGAGCACAGGAACCCACCTGCACAGAGGGACCTGCAGGATGGGGCCTTAGACTATGCCCGTTTGCCCTCTGCATGCTTCCATCACCGTTCACTTGCATTTGAAGCCCTGCTTTGGATCATATTAATGATTCAGCTACTCCAGTTCAACTAACTCCTTGCGACACCAGATAAAATGAAAGCGTTTTCATGCCTGAAATAAGTTCATGAGTCGGGGGAGAGCTGGTGAAATGCGATGCTGTGCTGTCTGTGTCCTGGCGTGGGGTTTCAGTCTTTCTTGCCGTCTGAACTGAGGTCAGAATCTATTGATACTTCTTTTTATTCCTAATGTGATTTTTGCCGTTTGAGTGATAAACATAAACGTTGCGAAGTTCCTGTTCAGCTCTTTGAGATCCATCTGCACTCCATGGTCAGCACAGAGCCCTTGAAGCCTTTGTCAGATGTAAATTTGTGAGATTTCTGGGTCTCTGTTTAACAAGACTCTGCACGCTGTTCTCACGAGATGCGTGTCTCAGTTGCATTTGATATGGAAGCTATTTAAAATCAATCTTACTTGCTCAATCTGGCAGCACACACAAAAAAAGGGGATTCTCATCCCCGTACCCTTCTGCCACAGATGCTGTCGCCTGTTTGGGGGCTATTCCTGACGAGCAACAATATATAGTTTGTGTCAGTGCACGGTTTTACAGCAGCCTTCCTTCCCCATAGATTAAAACTCATCCCCTTCTGCCCTTCTCCCCATAGTGGGTTGCACTTCCAACTTTCAGGTAGTATAACTCTGCAAATACCTCTTGCATCCGAAGAATGTATTCTTGAAGCCATTTTTAGGGTTCTGGTTTCAGTTAAGTGTGTGTCAGTATTTCTTTTCTCGCAGTCGAGGAGTTACCGTGGTCCAGAGTTGTTTACATGCCTTCTAGTGTTACATTAGTGTCTCAAAGTCTCCCTTTCACTTCTTTCTCCCAGTTTTGTAGATGACTTTACTCAGCGTTTCTCTCTCATTGATCAGCTGTTTGCAATGGCAGAGTTCAGTCGAGATGCGCCAGCTTCTCTCTCGCATGAGACACTGCACGATAACCGAACCTCCACCAGCAACAGCCCCGCATCCAAGGAGAGGTTTACACCCTGTGATAAACCCGAAGGGAGTAGAGCCCCGCACCCAGAGCACCCTTCTTCTCCTTGTTGAAGTTACGCACTGCACGAGAGCCTCGTCCTCCAGCCTATAAAGTAAATAACGCTCCCATGCTGCTGTGGTGTGGGGCTGTGGGAGTGCTGTCGGTTTTCTGGTAACATTAGGACACCAACAAAAAAAAACCCAGGGCCTCTTTTTCTTGTTGTTGGCACCAAGCAAATAAAATGACAGAGGGCAGACCCATGAGTGGACTCTGATACCAAGCTCTGGGAGCTGCTGGCGACGCTGCTCTGCCTTAACTCTGAAGCTGGGAAAAGTCGTGAAAAGCTGAGTAACTCGTGGTGCCCCGGTTTGCTCATTGCCACCGGGGCAGCAGCAAGCATTCAGCAACCGAGACTGCGGGTCTTTCGGAGGTTTTAAATCTCTTTAATGCAGTGTAGCAATGAAATCAAGAAGCTGAGCTCTCCACGTACGGTTTGGAGAGTGAGTTTTTCCCAGGCACAAGGAGATTCCTGCTTTCCAGTGTAAACCAGTGGGAGCTGAACCTTTCCACCTTCCCTTTCAAAAGGTGTCCCAGTACTTGCAAAAACGACTCTGGAGGCGTTTTCCATGGCGTGGTGCAGCGCCGCGTTCCTCTCCGCAGCCGTGACTCGTGTGTGCTCGTGGCCTCGATCAAAGTCCGTTGCATTAAAATCTCTTTTGTGCTGGTCCTGTTGGCGCCAGCGCGATTTGAACGCGGTGTAAAAGCTGCGGCACTGGCCAGGCGGCCACAGGTGCCCTCTGCGAGGACAGTCGGCGCGTTGTCGCGCTTCCCATCGTCGGGGTGTTTCAGGGGTGATAATTTAAAAATTACCCAACGGAGAGGGAGGGAAGTACTGCTGAGTATTTGCTAGCTCCGAGTTGCCTTCTGCCACAGTTCGCTGCGGGAGCTGCTCTAGAGCTCAGAGTAACGAAGGAAATGCTGAATGTTTTCTGCAGTGTCGCCTTCATCTGCTGCTAACACACACAGATGCTCCCTGTTCTCCCAGCTACTGCTGCGAGGCAGATTTCTCATTGAAAAACAAGCAAATGGCATTCCCATTGGTTTGCTTCTGGTGTTGTGGTTTTGAGCGAAGAACAGATTTGCCCGTTACTTCCCGGGATTTGGGGCTGTTCCCCTTTGCGGGGTGGAACGGTGCTGCCCGACTGCGGCTCCCGCTGTGTCCTGATACAGACCACGGGGAGATTTTTAAGATGACAAAATGAGGGGGGAGAGGATGGGCTCCCCAAGGGCTTTACAAAAACAACAAGTATTTGTATACTTTCACTTTAGGGCTAAAACACAAAAAGGAGGTGCTCAGAGCAAAAATCAAAGGAGCTATGAACCAAACACTGTACCCATACCAGCTTTTAGTTAAAGAAGAGCTTATTCTCGATTAAAGAGCTGAGCTTTTAGGATAGGTGGCATCTTAAAACTGCAAATTCTAACCTGATTCTAAAACCTCAATTCTGAATCCATCAAAATTGCAAGGGAGCAGTTATTAACTCCATGTCTTTATTCTGCAGCATTGCAAGAGGCTGAGAGTCCCCGAGATTGGTTATAATGCCATCACTGTTTAACTGTGCAGCGTGGTTTCGGGATTTTTTTGCCAAATTTAAAGACTGGTGGTGGGGTTGTGTCCTGCTGTGCAAACATACGCAGTGCAGGAGATGCTCTGTAGGATAACATGTGCTTCCAGGTCTGAAAGCAGTGAGAAAAGGGGAAAGGTGAGGGCGCAACGAGGTCTGGGGTTGTTTCGAAGGCCGATCTCTCCTGTCCAGGTGCGGTGCCTTGGCTTGGCGGCTGTCGGGGAAGGTTGCTCAGGTGTGGAGCAGAGCCCTGGCGTCCCAGCCCTTAAAATGAGCGTGACTTTTTAAATCTGCTTTATTGGCCCCCACTGAACTCTGTCCAGTGGTGGCAAGGAGTTCTGTCGGTGGAAATCAGCTACCAGGAGCTTGTTGTCCTTGTCTTATTAGGTAAAACCCAGGTTTGAAGGGGCTTAAGCAGAAACTCAAATTGAGGTGAACTATATTTTTGTCTTAACAGCAGCTCGGTTCAAGTGGTGCCATGGGGAGGAGTTTTGAGGTGCTTTATAGACACTGGGTAAAGCTCTGGTAGGAAAAAAATGAAGGAAGTTTTCTGCATGAAAGATCTTTTAAATCTTCAAGGCAAGTGGAACTTTTTGTCTTCAGCAGAGATAAGTGGCTGTACAACATGTGTAGAAATATTAATTATTTACATTTGGAAGTCAAGATTATTTTGGAAAAGACAGATCAGTAGAAGATATTTAAGGCTTTTTTTCCCTGTACTTCACTGTAGCTGGCGAACATTTGCTCCCCTGACCCCAGCACCCAGCCCTGGGCAGGCGAGGAGCAGGAGGCAGACGCCCGTTTCACGCACGCCGCTCCAGGTGCGATGCATTTATAGTCCTCTTTAGCAGCTGTGCCACATGCGTCTCCACGCTGGGAATCGGAGTCGTTTGTGTTTTGTGCCTCTGGAGAGGCCCCGGGGCTGCTGCGCCGGCT